CCAGTCAATAACATACAAGTGGTGGAAATAAGTATTTTGACGCATCAACATTTTTCTTTGTTAACATACAGTTTCAAATGTAGCAATTTTACATTGAGACATTGTACAAACTTCAGAAATTCTCATAGATAAAAGAAATCATAAAACATACAATCCATTAATAAAGTTGTATTTAATAAAGTGAAAATGACACAGGAAAAAAGTATTGAATACACAATGTAGTTCTACCCTCCAACCTGTGTAAATAGAAATCAGATGGGTTAGTGTATGATGATAGGTTAAAAAAAGGGGTTTACCCGCCTCTGAATTCAAGTGGTAGACATCATGTTTTCGAAGCTGTCGCAACAAGAAACATGATGTGTAAAGACAAAGAGTGCTTTGCAACAAGAGTGTTGTGCTATTATCGGCAAACGGCACCTGTTACTGCCGGATATCGCAACTCCTAAATATTCTTGTAAGCACCATTGAGGCTATTAGCTTCAAGTCCACCCTGTTGAAGAAATGGCAAGTTGAGGGTCGTCTGAAGTTTGCTGCACGACATTTGGAACAGCCTGTGAATTTACTGGCAGAATGTTACACCAGAGCCATTGTTGGGGAGGAGAAAAACGGTTTCTGCGTATGACCCTTAAAATAACAAAACCACCAACAACAGTAGTTGGTTTATTGGCGGTGGAAGCACCGTGGTACATGGAGCCATGTAGCAGGAAATTCTTGAGAATATAAATCTGTTCTGTATGAGGATGAGACGACCTTCCAGAAAGTATGATAATCCAGACCAGACTGTGGAGGAGACTCTCAACTGGTTCCAGAAGAAGAAAATAACTTTGTTGGAATGGCATGGTCGATCACCAGGACATGCGTGGAAGGAACAACAAGAGGACCGCACTGAATCCTCAAGACTTAACGACCAAAAATCCCACCTGAGCCCACAAGTGATTTTGCTTCTTCATACAGGAAGCGTCTTGAATCTGTCACTGCAAACAAAAGGCTTCTCCACCACGTATGAAATAAATTTCTCTCAGTGTGTTCATACTTTTTTATAACACTAAACGCGTACTTTATTTAGGGATTGCCAATTTAGGATTTATTTATCTGTGTAAAATTTCCTGGTGTTTGTACCAATGTCTGGTCAAATATTCATGGTAATTGGCTGGCATTGGAACTGCTTTGACGTGTTGAATGCTTTATTTCCGCCATGGCATGGCGACATTTCCAAGTTACAAGCAAAAGGAAAATGTCACTGGTTCACACACTTTTTATTATGCCTGCTCAAATCTGACATTCTCTGCTTCCCACCGAGTTAGTAGATCGATTGCTCTCTCGATGTACCCACCTGAAATGCTGATCAGGAGAGAAACCCTCCTACAGACATTCAACAAATAGAAATACACATCATGTTCCTTCCTGTGTTTTCATAAAAAAAGATCGAGATCTGCACAAGTACAGTTGTAGTGTTTCCTGTAATTACAAGATATGGGTGATGAGTCAGTCACCCCTGTAGTCACCACTTTCAAGCTCCACTTCCCATATCAAAGAGGAACATTCATTTTCTGGCCGGTTGGTTGAGGGTGTTAAAAGGGAGGGAGGGTTGTTTGTACTCTGAAGAGCTCTCTGAGCCTCCAAATGAGGAGGAACACTCAAAATGGGACTATTTCAGTTCACGCTTTACTCTCTGCAGAACAACAGTTGGTCAGGAGAGCAGTTACGGCTCCACGCAAAATTCCCACTTCCCCGATCGTTTCAACGATTGACGAAAAAGTATTTGTTTTGTTAAAGATAGACTGAGAGGCGATCACTTCGACGATCCTGTAAGCAATTAAGCAGGAAGCGCCATTCAAGTACTTTTCTAAATTAATATGATGCAACATGACCTTAAGGAAAGTCAAGTGAGTTTTGGGTTTTTCTGAGTTTTCCCACCATTCGCTTGTGTAGAAAAATACGCTCACTGATTACGCAACACAGTTTTCGCACAGTGCGTTAAAAGGCATTAAAATCATGTGGTGCATTTCTGGTTTGTGGTATAGGTAGTAGATGCACAGTCGTGAGACATTAGCTATGTGTGTGACTGCGTTTGCCAGGAAGAGAAAGGTGTTTGCTACTGTACAGTTCAGCACTTGTAAAGTTATACTCTAACACATAATGTCTTGTGTTATAGCTGCAGTCTTTTTTTACTTTCAGCTGTGAGTGAGAAAACAGTAGCAACAAAATCACAACCATGAGCTCTTTCTCTGTTATTAGGACTAACGGAGGCAAACATACAGAGCCCTGCCAGCGATGCACTAACAGTTATTTGGTTTAAGTTACGTTGAATTTTACAAAGTATCAGCATTTCTTTAAAAAAAAAAAAAAATTAATTAAAAAATGTTTTACAAAAATTTGGTTGCCATTTGAAGTTATCATCTTCTGACAAGAATTGCACTGTACTTAAGTATTTCAATTTCATGCTACTTTATAGTACTTCTACTCTAATACATTTCAGAGTTTTTACAAAGGAAATATTATTGGCACCATAAAGAATGTGGTGAATGTGGTTGTTTTTCCTGAGAGGCCATTGAGTGCAAATTGCTGTCATGTTGTATATGTGGTATTTTAAGATACCGTGAGTTTGTACAGCTGCTATCGTGGCCAAATCTCTTTGGTATATCTTTCATCTCAATGGGACTTCCTGGTAGAATAAAGTAAAAAACCGCTATAGTAACTTTACATATTGATAAACTTAAGTCACTGTATCTACTTTAATTGTAAGTATTATTTCTCAGTGTTAAAGGTTAATTTTTTTAACAGTATATAAAGTGGTAAAAGTTATAATAGAAAACTGTACTTGGACATTGATCCATCAGTAATAATTCAAGGGGCCTTTCCCCTGCGTTGACAACTTTTAATGAACTTTAATGAATGCAGGAGATTTCGCCGCTGATGTATCCTCGTTATGTGTGTGTATGTGTGTGTGATTGAAAATAAAAAGCACTGTATGAATGTGTGAGTGAATGTGGCGTGTAGTGTAAATCTTTTTGAGTGGTTGATAAGACTAGAAAAGCACTATATAACTGGAGTCCATTTACTTTTAACTGAAAGAAAGGAACTACACAGGCTACTTCCTGCACCACTGAGGGACTGAGAGGATGCTGACCCAGTTTTTCCACATTATTGACGCACAGTGTTTTCCGCGGGTGCTGTCGATGCTAACCTGGACTGGCCTGCTCCTGTGAGGCTTTCCTCAGGATCTCCGTCTGCTTGGAGCTCAGTGTTTGGAGGCGCCCCAGCTCCTCCGTTAACTCTGTGTAGGCCAGAGCCAGATTCACCCTGGAGGAGGAGGAAGGAGGTTAGGAAGGGAGGCAATTATGTAATTATCATAATCATTGCCATTACAGAATATTACAATGTTGTTATTCTATTACAACTGATTTATACAGACAGTGTAATCTCCGTTTAATCCTTGGAATGTACACCATTGTCGGAAGCTGCATGATGTATGAAACCACGGTGACCTGCATCACCGATCCGCTCTGATCTTCATCTCTACTTTAAACTGGGTGAGCTCTGCAGCGCTAACACAGCCTCGCAAATCAGGCTGGCTAATTGAGAGGCTTATATAGGCTTATATTTTTAGAGTCACAATTCACAGCGCATAATTGAAGTGAATAAAACACACACCATTTCATGCAAAATGTGTCATGACTCTCTCAGGGGCCGCACTGACAGAGCAAATCTATTTCAAGCACAGTAAACAAGACTGGTTGGCTTACAGGCTTCTGTGTCTTTTAACCATGGCAACGAGCTGATTTAGTCTCGACTCTTTAGCTTGAAACTGATCTGAATCCCACAGTATAAATGAACGTGAACCAAGGAGATATAAGGAATAATCTCAGAGCACATTCTACGTCCTCTTTGAAAGCTTAGAGTGTTGTTCAGTGTATATGTGTGTGTGTGTGTGTGTGTGTGTGTAGGCTGTTTCATGTTCATGGCAGAGGGTTTGCTCAAACAGAAAGAAGCAACTCAGCTGCCCTCAAATCTGATAATGGGCATCTTATCTCAAATGTCTAACCAATTTTTATAAACTCCTCAGTCTTGATCTGAAATTGACTCATACCAGTCCAGACTGTGGTTTAGATTAGACACTTATTTACAGGATGAGAGGTGTGACACTTTGAAATGTAGTTTGAAATGTGTTTAGATAATGAGTTTATGCTGCCAACCTGAGTAATTTCTTCTATCAAGACTAGTATTTAAAAACAAAATGAATGATTAAATTAATGATAAGTTGGACGTTGAGTTTCAGATCATTGCCAGGCCCCTGACCTGATGATGCACCTCAGATAACCTTTGCTGATAAGAATTTTACTCTTTCCTCTTTAGCAGTGGTTCTCAAACTCTTTCACGTCAAGAACTCTTAAAGTGACACCCACTCCTGCCCCCCCCCAAGTGCACGCAGGGACGAACTGTGACATGGTTTCTCAGATACTGCTTGTTTCACAAAATCTGTGAAACCCTCTTCGGTTTTGACTCTGTACATCTAAGAATAGCACGTCAAGGACCCTTAAAGTGACACAAATTAGGTCAGGGACCCGCATCTGATAGGATTTTGTCCCAGGGTCCCCCGTTAGATACAATTTTTTGTTTTTTAGCTTTTAGATGTTTTATCACACATTCTGTCATTGTGGATGGAATCATAGTGAAAATAAGTGAGTCCCATTTTTGCTAGGACCCACCTTTAAGGGCCCCCCTGGCGGACCCCATTTTGAGAACCACTACCCTATAGAGATCATGGTAGATGAAAATAAAAAAAAAAGACAAACACTTATGCACCTCCAGGGGATTTCTACTGCATGAGGAAAAACAGACACAAACTTTGACAGCAACACTGGCACCAAAAGAAAAAAAAAGAAAAGAAAACACTTATGTACCCTGCCTACACAGCAAATAAAGCATAGTGTCAAATTAAAAATATGTTCCTCGGCACACCCGCGCACTAACTTAATTGAGTCAACCCACTAGTGTGTGTGTGTGTCTGTATGTATGTGTGTGTATGTGTGTGTGTGTGTGTGTGTGTGTGTGTGTGTGTGTGTGTGAGATTCTGCTGCTTGGGTCTCTCTTGTACTAATAACAGCAGATTCTTTTTCATCTCCAAACCACAATCTCATTTTTTAAAAACACTTTTACAGATATCTGCAAAGACATCTGTAACAACACGAGCTTACATCTCATTTTTAAATCCAGGATACAAGCTTTATCACCACAAAATAGTTTAAATTATATCAGGGACCCCATTTCAGGGAAGCTCACAATTTCATAAAAACAGATTGTAAGTCATAACTTCCACTGGTTGGTTGTCATTTGTAACTGGCCCACTAGTTTTCCACCAACCTGCTATGACTCAGACAGAGTGGGGTATCAAACCCCCTTCATCCCCCACCTCATAACAGACAACATTCCCTCTCTGTGGTAGTAGTTGGTGGAACCTGGTACCAACACTGAAATGAATCAGGGTCATCTGTGTCTCCCTGCATGTGGTTTTGGATAAAAGCCTCCTTAAAACACATACAGATATATTCAGTGCATCAGTAGGAAAATAACAATCACTTAGGTTACTTACTGGCATGGTGGGTGGAGTGTGCAGTATAATATTGTTATTGCAGAAGAGCAAATAAAATGTCATTAATCCGCTTCCTTCCCTCCCTCACTTCTCTCAGAGGACTCTCAGCTTACATTGCCTTCTTTTTAGCTAAATGCAGGTGTATATATCAGTTTAGATTCATGCACCTCTTCCTTTTTCACACTACTGTCACACTCAGTTTTGCTAGAGTGTGTTTTGACAGTCTGTGTCAAAGAGACCCAGGGTTGGACTAACAACACCTCTCTCATGGCCCCGTGTAGTAAAACTGATGGCGTGAACACCTGCGCATGGGTGCATGCGAGGACAAAACTTTTAACAAGAGTTTCTCAGTCGCTGGCTGTTGCAGAAAATCTGTGTAACGCTTTTTTTTTTTTTTTGTTGGTCTTTTTGTCAGTCTATAAATACTTTGAACAATTGCCAGCATGCGTCTGTTCTTTTGCATTTATTTTCATTTGCTTCCTCTCTCTGGTATATGCGTAGCTGCAGACGTACACACTGTAAAATGTACATTACAGTGTGTAGGAGGGGTGTGATAATGCCAGGGCAACATTGATAAAAGGCTTGTGTGTGTGAATTGATCAGATACAAGAGTGTGTGTGTGTGTGTGTGTGTGTGTGTGTGTGTGTGTGTGTGTGTGTGTGTGTGTGTGTATGTATATGTGCATGTGTGGGAGATGGAGAGTGGGCTGAAATCTGACCTCTGGTCTGATCAGACGTTTAAAAGAAAGAGCCGTCACCGCAGCTGCCTGTGAGATCTGAGCTCCTCTTTGCTGCCGAACACTCACACACACGCAATAATAAATGTTCCTTTTTTTTTTTTTTTTCAAATCAGCCAGAGCTCAGTCACACGCATTAAGAACATGGCCTCCTGGGTAAAACTAACACTTGAATACACAGTGGTCAACAATATTCTCGTAAACATGCATTTTCTGGAAAGAGGGGGTCATCCATGACGCTTAGAAGTAACGGAGAAACTGAGTGTTGGATCTTTGGCCTCACGGAGGGCATGTGTTAAACGACCATGAGACCACTGTGGGGGCTTTTCACACTCTGTCACACCCTGCTTCTGCTTATGTGCATGAGGCACTTTCAGCTGAACACAGAGAGGTGTCAAACAGTCCAAGCCACAACGCAGTAAACACTCACTGAAGAGTTTTGCTGCCTGTCTAATCATGTTTTTAGGGTCAATTAACAAAAATGGATTCCCACACGCTGCTCAGAAGTCATTTTCAAAACATGCCGTTATTTCTCTTTAAATTTCCAACGAGAAATGGGTATTCCACTTCAAACTTCAAATCATCGTGTTGTGATTTATTGGAAACGGCTCTCACTTTCTGAAAGCTGAAGAAGGATTAGTCAGTCGCTTTCTGCACTTGAGTTTAAGAGTGTGTGTGTGTGTGTGTGTGTGTGTTGAGGGGGGTTGGCATAGTGCATGGTGGCTGCCAGCAGTGTGGCTTGTGGTTGGTGAGGGGAGCTTGTTTTTACATTTTATACATTAAGAGGTATAGGAAAATGCACATTGTCATGCAAAAAATGTGTTGGGGAGGCCGCATTTCCTTCTCTTAGAAAACATATGGAAAGAGCAGAGAGGCAAGAACGTTTAGGGACGAATGGAAGATGAAATTCAATGATGCTGTTATCCTTTTTTGCATTTACAGGTGTTCATGAATTTGCCCAGTTGCTGGTTACAAATTAGGACAAAGGTGGTGTGTTCATATCCCCCAAAGCTCATACACAAAGCCTCCATATCAATCTGTGCAGTTTACACTAAATGAGCCCAATTACAAGAAAAAGCTCCAGGAAACAAAGTTAAAGGCATTGTAGGTTTTGTCAGTGGGAGTGAGTGATATTGTTGAGTAAAACCAAAAGGTGACCAAGGTCTGGAAAAAAACAGTAGGCTTCCACCACACACTCACTCACAAAACTCTGCCTCTCTGCCGCACCATATACTTTCAGTTTGCTCTCCATCGAAACACTTGTGGGGTTTCATTGTGTGGGAGTCTGCTGCCCAACTTGCTGTGGTTTTTTTAACTTCTTCTTCTGCTTTTTTTTTCTTCTTTTCTTTTCTTTAACCTGCGACACCTTGTAAGCAAAGTCATGCAGCAAAGACCGCGGTAATTTCACAAGGGTAAAAAAAAAAAAAAAAATTAAATAAAATAAGCTACTTTCTTTCCTCTCAACAGCAAGTTGAAGCCATTTCTCTTGTTGTATTGAAAGTGAGAGAGAGAGAGAGAGAGAGAGAGAAAGACAGAGAGAGAGAGAGTGAGAGAGAGAGATGAGTGCCAACACAACCACTTGAATACTCACTACTGCTCTCACTGTGTTTCTGGTGTGGAGGATGAAAGAGAAAGGATGCGCAGATAGACGAGCTTGGACCTCATGCCACGTAGAGATGTCCAACAAACACACAGACATGAGGAAATGGACAGGAAGGCGTCCTTCTCTGTGCCTACACTGCCCCCTGCTGCTCACACTGCTCTCCTGCCAAACCTCCCCTGAGCAAACGTTTAATACAGGAACACTGGTGTTACAGCGGAATGCACATAGAGTAAATGCAGCTTTTGTGCCCTGACAATAATACTCCCTTTATTAATGCTGCGTTTGAACCCAGTTAGCCAGCGATGGAGAGCTCAACCACTTCCTAATGAGGCCCCTGGAGGTCAGCCTGAGCACATCACAGCAGGAGAGTAAATACAAATTTCTCCTTTTGCTCTTATCTGCTGCCATAGATGCTGCCCCTCGACCAGCATCTCTCCTGCCTTTCCTCCCTCCCTCCGTCCCTCCCTCCCTCCCTCCCTTTCTCCCACCGCCCAGAGATTGGTCTGTGGTCACTTACTGCTCATCTCCCACCTTCTTTATCCACTCCACATCACACTGCTTGCACGGAGAAGTCATTTCCTGCCGAAGTAGAGCATGAAATTCGATTAGCATGCAGGTGCTGCAGGAATATTGGACAAAATCTGACAGCAAGAGCCGGTCGAGACAACATGTTTGAAGGTACCATTGTCAGAAAAAGGCGTGCGAGGCGGTACGTCTTTGGATTTGATTATCATTACTGGAGCACTGTGGAGCTGTGCACTTTTATGGCTTTATGTACATCAGTAAATCCTTTAAAGACGCACCCAGCTTTTAGCAGTAGTGCTCCAATGAACAGGAGTTACTGTATTTGGAAAGCTGAGACTTCATTATTTTGTTAACTGACTAATAAGATGCTGTGGTGTGGCACTGAAGGGCAGAAAAACAGGCCTGGAGTCTGGACAGTTTGTCGGTCCTGGGTAGAGACACCCAGCCCCCACTGTTGTGCTGTAAAGCTCTTTGAATAACACTGTCCTTCCTCTTGGATGTGTTTTCTGGCTGTGATGACCACCACAGTAAATATGCATTTATCAGCCCAGAAAACCCTAGGAATAAATGTTGGACGATTATGCACCCCACGATTTACGTCCAAAGCCAACATTCAGAGCCATTGCAGGAAGTAGTGTGGCCTTTATGTGGCGTGGTCGAGCGAAGGTGTGGAGGTCATAAACAAATAATTAATGATGACTGTATCAGGATCTTTTCCTGATCACAAACCAGCGTTTTATTTGCTTACTGCCACATTTCTCACAAATCAATTGAGGATAATTCAGTGAATGCATCACAGTAAAGTACTGGGGTTGGTTGCTCTTGCTTAGACCTTGAAATTGTCCTGACGCAGTAAACTCCACCCATGTGGCACCCCGAGCAGACGAAAACAAACCGACACTGACCCTCTCCCTCTGGCTGTTCTGCAGCTGTCTCATCTCCTCCTTCATTCTCTCGACCTCAGCCTTCAGCTCCTCTTCCCGCTGACACGCCCCCTGGGCCTCGTGCCGCGCCCCCTCCAGCTCGGCCTCCAGCCGCTGCAGCTTCAGGTCGGACAGGGCGTCCAGGCTGCGGGAGCTCTGCAGGGTCAGGGCAGGACAGTCCAGCACTGGGCGGAGGAGAGAGAGAGAGAGAGAGAGAGAGAGAGAGAAGAATGCGGACATGAAATAGAAAAGACGAGGCCACGTTTTCACTGCTTTTCCCCTGCGTTCTACCATCTATTGTTGTACAACACACGCGTATGAAAGAGCAAAAGAGCTGACTTCTTCCAAGGGCAGCATCTTTCAGCGTGTACCTGGGTGATGTGATCTGCGTGGGCATGTTAGTGATTCAGCTCCGCTCACACAGACTCAGTCCTTGAGCCAGAAGACAATGTAACAGCGCAGCAGTATCATCTTTTATATATCCCAGCTCCTCCTGCCTCCTCAACAGCACACTCGTGTGCAGTCACATATACACACATACAGTACGCAGTCTGCACTCCAATACACCCTCATTCATACACACACACACACACGCTCATTAATCAATACCGTACGTTACTACCTTGCAAACTCTCACGGAGAAATTAAGGAACAAAAAAAAAAAAGAAAAAAAAAGCTCATACATGTCTTTCTTTAATGAATTCAAGAGTGTGATGCTTCTGCTAAGGTACGCCATCAGCACAGGCATCTGTTCAGGTGGCAGAGTCACCTGAACAGTCTCCCACGTTTCCATCAGCCGCCCACATCCGTCGTCGAAAGAGGGAAAAAGTTTAGCATCTGCTGACTCTAGAGCAGCTGAAGTTGAACAGAGCTTCCTTCCACAGCAGTAGTGGACCGCATATTTTGTCTTGAAGTCGGTGCTGCAGCCTGAACATGAGGGAACCTGCTGAGTTTGTGCGACTGTTTTGGCTTCACAATCCAAAGTCCTCTGTGATTTTTAGGATTTTTTATTCACATGCTTTTTACAGCGAATGTAGTGGAGCGACCTGCCTTGTCTGAAGCAACTTTGAAACTCCATACTTTTCCGGTGTAGGAATTCATTTGCATTGTAATAAGTCAAATTTATCTCACACGTTTTCAAGCATTTGGTAAAACAGACCAGTCACAATAGACAGTCGTTCAGCAGTGCAGATGGAAGCAACAGGCTGAACGATACAGAGAAATCCTCAAATTTTTAGAACCAGTCTCTCCACTCAAAATGTTTTTGAAGCCAGAATGATTGAATTTCAATCCCGAGCGCCCGCATGGATCACAGGTCTCTCTCTTTTTCTGAGACTGCGACTGGGGGAGTTGGAACAAAATGTCCAGGCTGGTTTTCTCCAACAGGCCGAGGATTAACCTGACCTCAATTAAAACGCTTTCCGGCCAGATTGTTGGATGTGATTAAAGGTTGAGTAACAGAGAAGAGACGAGCGGTGATTAACAGCGATAACAGGTGTCTGAGCTTTTTCGTTTTTTTAAACAAACTTGCAGTTGATGTATAAATGTCTTATCTTGCTGTACTTATCAAAATGAAACAGTTGACACATTGGGTGTCAGTGTTAAGCTTTACATTAACCAAAATACCGACCCAGGCAACCCTCTGAAATCTGTATTTCTGTATAAGACAAGACAAATAAAATAAACACTGGACAGTATAAAAAGACAAATAAGTAGGATTTAAAGAGTGATGTAGAATACATCAGATTAAACAGGAGACTAAAAATTCTAGTGTGGTTTGACTTATGAATAATGAGTCTGAAATTTCATTTAATAAAAGGAAGTGGCAAACAGAAAAGTCTTAAGTCTTGATTCAGAATCTGGAGCAGACCTCAAGTTTTCTGGGAGTTTGTTCCAGATATGTGCAAACTGAGATGTCTGAATGGTTAATATTGTAGCAGCAGATCAGTCATGTAATTTGGCCCTAAATAAACCAACATTCAGTCTTTGGTCTTTAAGTCCTTTCATTCTTGAATTCTGTGTCATCTTTGTAATTGTCTTAATGTGGACGAATCCAGAACTACAGCAAGATTTCTGTCCCAGTTTCTGGTCTTAGTGACTGAAACTGGTCATTGACTTTGACGTTATTTCAGTTTCACTTTTACTTAGCCGGAGACATTTTGACATATCCAGTCATTCATTCATTCAATGCACCAGTGCTTGTATGAGAGCATAGTCACCTGGTGATATTGTTACACACACACACACACACACACATATATATATATATATATATAAATCTGTCGTCTCCATAATTAAACAGACACGCTCTGAGTAAGTGTTGACAGTCACTTACTGTGTGCGTCTGGACCGGCGTGCAGCTGCAGGTACTGCATGTCTTTGCTGTGCAGCTGCATGTTGAGTTTCTGCAGGGAGTTGTCTCTCTGCCTCAGAGCTGACTCCAGGTTCAGGATGCGCTCGACATGCTTCTCCACCAGGCTGGTCTGTAATCACACACATGCATGTGCACAGAATCCAGTTATTGACAGAGGTTATGTGCATTCTTCATAACCTCTCACAACAGTCTCATTCTGCAACCTGCTAAAAGCCAGTTTGTGAACATGTCCAAGGCTGCTGCTAGATATCAGTGGGAGGATGGAGAAAAATGTTCTTTGTTTTGTATTTAATTGTTTCTCGTCTTATTAAGAAGGCAGAAATTCAAGAGGATCTCTTGCCAAGGCCAATGTCAAACAACATACACCAGACTTCACAGAAAAAAAATTCAAATTTATAGTAAATGATCCAGATCTGCCCCCAAATGTAATGAGTTCTTCTCTGGTCCGTGTCCCATCTCTCCACCGCGTTTGGTGCAAAATCGGTTCAGTACTTTCTGTGTAATTCTGCTGAAAAATCACAGATGTGGATGAAAACACAACCTCCGTGGCTGAGGTAAAAATCAGATAGAACAGAAATGTAGCGACATGCGCACACACGCAAACACAATCATATATATAGAAACATTATGTAGATGAGTTACTGAGTGAGTGCTCTGCTGCAAGGTTAAAGATCTATGAGGCCCAGTAGGTAGATGGATTCGTATTAACAGTCGCAGCCACAGCTTTGGGTGACACTGACACTCGGGTCAGTCCTCGGCAGGAGGCGGTTCCAACAACGTTGGCGCACCTCAATCCCTTAATCACCCTGACCATATAAAACTGCTGAGGCTGCTCGGCATGAGCCGCTCGGTGGACTTCACTCTCATATGAGATGGTTTATTATCACAGAGGGGATCTGGGGAAGACCAGCCAGCCAATCTGTTCAGTTGGAAGCCTCTGCCTGGTCTGGATCCACTTTGATTTGTAACCAGTTACAGTAATGTGTTCACAAAATAAGATTCTCATAGTGTGAAATCGAGGAAATGACTTACTAAAATTGGCTTATAGTTTTAGTTTGTATATTTTAAATAGAAGGAAAAACTATGAAATAATTTGCAAAATTAATTTAAAAAAAAAAGTTTTAAATAAAGACGTATCAACACACAATCAGGTGTGTGTTTTGTGTCAGAGGAATTTCACTGAGTGACTGTGAAACGACTCTCCTCCCTGATGGACTGTTCGCTCAGTGTGAGACGTAATGAAAACAGTTTCCACAGAGGCAGTTACAAGCAATCAAAGTGATGCACTGTCTGTTTCCTTGCTTTTACTATCAGGTAGATAAATGTTGAAGTAACATCAGGAGAGACAGAGAAATACAACTGTAGTTTTAAAACCTATTTACATTCATATAGATGACTGTTACTGTTATTTACCACTTATAGTGCATGGTGGAGTTATAATTTTAACCTGCAGCAGTGTGAGTTACGGTGAAGTGTTGCCCAGACTGGCTTGTTTTATGGCATTAACTATCATAGAAGACTTTATATAACTGTTTTATAGGCTGAGTAGTACTCCTCGTAACAAGTAAACTGAGCTTTTGTGTGTAAAAATGGTGGAGTGCCCCTTTAAATGGTGAGCATGCGTTCAAGTCCTGAATCTCCAGCAGCTTCAGGACCTCTGACCGGCCTGTGAAGAGGAGGAGTTAGTTCTTCAGAGGACAAACACAATGTCAGAAAAACAGGTGGAGATGTAATTAGCATTCGCTGCTGCTTCACCATAACAAGGGCACAAGTGTTGTGTGTGTGTGTGTGTGTGTGTGTGTGTGATACATATTTAATGAAAGCGTGCTATAAACTGAGGGCCATTAATGTGATGGATGTTGACAAATATGAACAATATGAACACCCATAGGCCTATATGATTGTTTGAACGTCTCATTTCATGTCATAGACATTAATGGGAATCTGCGCCAACTTCACACATGAACGTTTCAACAGAATGCCTAGTCTACATATAGGAGCATAGGGTTTGAATGACATGTACCAAACAGGCAGGGTCTAACACAATATTCTTGTGTGTTGCATTATGGGAAATGTAGGATCTAACATTCTTGGGGCTGTTTTTGTCTCTTCTCTTTAATCCCCCTGACTTATCTTTTTGGACATTTTGTGCCTCTATGAGATTAAGAATTGTGGGGAGGGAGAGAGATGGTGAATAACATACAACAAAGATCCTCAGCCGAACTGGGATGTTGCAGGTTCATAGTTGATAATTTAACCCTTTAACCCCCTAACTTTAAGGAAGAGCACTGCTGCATCTCAGCCATTTCATATTTAGAAACCTGGCTGCAGGGATTTGCTCCCATTCAGCCACAAGAGCATTAGTGATGTGGTGATAAAGTCTGGTTCACAGTCCACTTCATCTGAAAGGTTTTGGATGTGGTTGAGATCAGGGTTCAGGATCAGTTCTTCCACACATAAAGCTCCAAATTTTCCTCTTAAGACGAAAGAAGATATATTTGTGGTTTTAAGAACCAAAAACCATCTTTTTACATCTCCTCTCTCAGGCTTCTCTCTGGAGCTCTAGTAACAACAGGTCTGTGAGCCAATCAGAGGAGAGGAGGCTCAGAGTCTCTCTTCTGATTGGCTGACTGTTTTCTGGTCTAATAAAAAAAAATAAAAAAAATAAAAAGAACCTAGACCTGCTTATAATCAAAGAACACATAGAAATCTCACTTCATACAATATGGGACCTTTAACTGGAAACCAGTTTCTTTATGGAGCTGGCCTCACACACTGTTGCCACAAATTTTGAATATTTTCCAGAATAAAAGGAATCTGTGTAACATTAAGATTTCCCCTTAACTGGACCAAACCACAGAAACAGCTCCAGTCCGCATACTTTTGGCCATCTAGTGTATTTGGTGAATTAACTATAAACGTCTAATTTTATATTCATCCCTCATCATCAGAGTGTGAAACTGTAAGAATTAATTAATGGGCCATATGGCTCCTGCATAATGCGCCTGTTTAAAAAAAAAAAAAAAAAAAAAAAAAAAAAAAAACCCACACAGAAATGCACAGTGAACTGAATAATGTCTCTGACCATTTTGTCGAGATCCCTCTGGAGGTTGCTCTTCTCCATGTGAATCTTCTCGTAGGCCTGGATCACATCTTCCAGCTGCTCCTCTCTCTCCTTTCTCTTCTGGAGCTGAAAGCCGAGATGCAGAGACAGAGGAGCTGAGACTGAAGAAAAAGCTTGACATACATTTACTTTGTTTTTGTTTTTTTCTTCCTCCCTTCTTTGTCAGTTTTCAAACTTCCTCACAAAGATGGAGAAAAAAAAGAAAAAAAAAAAGCACACTAAAAACTTCCATTGTCAGAGTCATCAAACGTGTCTCTTAAGAAGCGGTTGTGTAACCAAGCAAATTTAGGACACTGAGATCCCGACACGTCAGCATGAGCAGCAACGCCTCCCTCATCTTGACAAATGGATAAATCATGATTCCAACTATGAAAAAAAACCCAACTTTTTTTTTTTTTTGATGTCCCGCTGATCTATTCTGCTCACACTGTGGCATAATGACGGGGTGAATATCACTGGATGCCATAATCACACACCATCTGACACATCTGAGGGTAGTGACATGAAGAGATTTTCAAAGCAGATGAGGATACAAGGGGTGGGATGTTTTTTTTTTTGTTTTTTTTAAATGGAAAAATATGGTCACTTCAGACAGCACAGATAGTGAGAGTGGGAGCAGCAGAGAGGGAGCACTGAGGCCTGTTCACTGTGTCTGTTGTAACATATGCTGCAGGAAACTGGCACCAAGGTGAGGACGGCTTGTCAGCAGCATCGTGACAGAGGAGATCAGGATGAATCCAGACACACACACACACACACACACACACACACACACACACACACACACACACACACAAACAATTCCTAAATTCTAAGGACGTGCTCATTATCACCTTTTAAATTTTCACTTTAGTCTGGAAGCTGGTTTATTGTGTCAGATGGCTCTTGGGTTCAGAGCTGTCGGTAGTTTTTTTTTTTTTTTTTTTGGAGAGTATTTTTAGTTTAATTGGTCTTTTACAAACAGCAGCGGTATGAAACACTTGATATGATTGCAGTGTTGAACGTGGCTTTTCCACTTCCTCTGAACGGTAATGAATTCAGGGCGTGTCAGTTTGAATGTTGCTTCAGTTTTAATACATCAGGGAGGGGGCGAAAGATGGGAAGCGTCACTGAAATTGAACAATTTTAAAGGATAATTTTGGTTTATTACAACTATTACAGCTAAGCTCTCAGGTCATGGTGACATTAACCAGGTTTCTAACCAAACCTACTTGGAATTCGAGCCACATTTCCAGAAACTCTGCAAAAGGAAATGCAAACTAACGAACGTTTCCATCTGTTATGTAAATATTAGGAGTTTTTACATCGAGATAAACTGATAAACCACCGCAGAAGAAGAGGGCGTAACAAGATGACATAATTAAAAGAGCGCCGGTTGAACCTCAAATGATGGAAAACCATGTGGCAATATGACATTTCTGTTTGTTCTGTGTATGAATGTGAGGAAGATTATAGTGTCTTCATCACTCCTCACAGACCTGATTCATTAAGTCTGTTTCCATTTCACTTTGTGACATTTTGCTTTTATTGATGCACCAACTTTCCCTGCTCAGACAAGTGAAAACACATTTCACTGGTAAAGTCTAACCTGGAGGTTTGTCTAAAGGGAATTATTCTGAGAGAAGAAATGAAGAGAACGAATTTGTAAGTAATAAAACAAACCCTTGATCAATTCAACACACGGGGAATTTGCTGCTGCTGACGCATCATTATCCATTAATCATTATCAGCTCCTAGTAAACAAGACCTGACTCAGAACCTGGGCCTGGTTCATATTATATTTAGTCAAACTGGGGTCACGTAGAGTCCCATCCTATTGGTGCAAGCCTCTGTGTGTGTGTGTGTGTGTGTGTGACACTACGTCTACTCTACTACCAGCTACCATCTATCAGCTGATCACATGCCGGGTCATTAATTATTGCAGGAGAAAAATGGGCCTTTAAAGGCGAGATGGTGGGAGAGGAGCTGCTGTAGCATCAAGCTGCTGCCAGTGTTGTAGTTGTCTCTATTTGTGTCCGATCAGGATGAAGAACTGTATTTTGGATCATGTCCAATTGTCTTCAGGTCTATTTCAGACCAGTTCTGACAGCCCTCACTTTGTTTTAGGGCATTTTTTCAAGTCTTTTCAATAAGAAAATAAGCTCTGCTTCCCAGATTTTAGAAATGAGTTTGGTGAATGCGCTGTTATTATTACTGCTAAGAATGATCCCTCCATTATTCCAGAATAATATGTCAACATGCTGAAATTCCTCTATGCTGTACTATCTATACTATATCAAGACAGCATTTGCAGTTATTTGCATTTTGTTCATGCCATGTCGTGTCTCCAAATTACTTCAATTATGTATATTTCATAAGCAAACATTGAAAGACAGTTGTTAACCCTGCTTTTCTTGCTCTCTCTGCACAATGTGGACAGTTTTCCACTGGAATAATACCTGGTTTACTGCCAGATTTTCTCTGCCGTAATTTGATCAAACACATTAATTGAGGAGTTTAACAAGATTTTGACTCAGGGGCGCTCCTCAAGACATGTCCTCAAGATAAGTAATAAAGCAGGATGTGTTTTAAGGCCTTCATGTGGGTTGATATTGATATATACTCACTGCACAAAGGCCGTCTGCCTTCCTACGTCTGATTTTTTGATTGTTGCTGCTGAGGATTTACTCTGTAGCTAAATATTGGGGTTGAGTGCATTGATTCATTATCTGATACATATTCCCAAACAAAGTTGACCCACATCATGTTTGGCTGGAAGCCTTGGTTATTGAGTGAGTCAGGCAGGATGTGAGGAGCAGCTGCACCTGCACAATTTCATCTGCATTTTAAATGAAAAACAAGTGAGTGAATTCCTCTGATGCCTTTACTGACAGAAAGTATGTCACTTTTCTCTGCCTCTTCTTGATAACTGCAAGTCACCTCTTCATAATAATAGAAAGAGAGAGTGAGTGTGTGTGTGTGTGTGTGTGTGTGTGTGTGTGTGTGTGTGTGTGTGTGTATGTGTATGTGTGACTGGGGGCAAGGTGGGGGTCCTGTCCCAGTAGAGCATGCTCAGTGAGCCATGGCACATTTCATCACTCTGAATGCCTGGTGTCAGAGCCGTGTGACCTTGTGTGTCCCGTGCTAATCGTTTCTGCTGCTCCCAGAAACCATTTCCTTCCTCTTTCCTGCTCTCTCGTTTTCTTCGCCGCCGCCGCCACCATTCTCACCGCTGCCTTCCTGTGTCAGTTGTTTCTCATGTCTTTTTTTCCCCCCCCTCCACTCTCTTGTTCACACAGTCACAGAAATAGTCGAGTTAGCAGCGAGGGAAAAACGAGTAAGTCCATGCACATTATGGACGCTGCCTTTTCTCACCCACTCACTCCAGTTTAGATGGGAGTGACGCTCAAGTATAGAAGAGCAGAATATATGCATACATCTTGTGCTTGAAGTGTTTGAAAATCTTTATTTTTCTTTCTTTCTTGAGGCGTAACACGTTCAGCAAAATCTTGGTTTAGGTTTAGTCCCAATTAGGCCGCGTCTCAAAAATAGAACACCAGTGTGAAAATCCCATGTCACAGTGCTCATTGGACGGTTTCTTAAAAACACCCAATCTCAGTAATTTTGCTTGGACAGCAGCTTTAGCGCTTAATTAGTTCTGGACGTCATTCATCATATGTCCACCAGGGTTGGCCTCAATTCGCTTTTTAATTCAATTAATTCACACGCAGGGAGGGATTTCTGCAGAATTCCAGCTCTGGTGTGATAAGCTTTTCTTCTCTGTAGAACAAAATGATTCTATAGTAAAGTAGATTTTTTTTTTTTTTTTTTTAATTTCTTATTTCTTACATATCCCACTGCGCCTCTGCCCTCTCACATATCTCCTCTACTCCCCTTCTCCCCCGTCGCCCTCGTCTCTCCTCTCACCTCGTGGGTCAGGACGTTGACTCTCTGCTGCAGGTTGCCATTTTCTGAGTGCAGCAGCGCCGTCTCCTTGCTCTCGAAAGAGCAGTAGGAGTTGGTGTCCTCCCCAAACTCGCTGATCATCGGGAACTGCAGCGACGACAAGGAAAAGACATTAAAGAATCATGAGATTGGACATTTAATATTAAGGATGCGTAGAGGACAAGATATAGTAAAATGATACAGTGAGTGAACCCCTCTTGCTTGTTTATAATTGTTGTTTGTTTGCTTATACTCCCTCTTTTTTTTTTCCTGCTGTACTCTGCATTTTTTTTTTTGATGATTTCACTCTGGGATCATTAAAGATTCATCAGGCATCAACTGCAACTTCTGCTTGGCCCAGATATCACTCAGAGAATCAGGTTGTTTTCGCTAATGTCATGTTTTTCTCTTGAACTAGATTTTCTTTTTCTGCACTAATCACAGAATTTACATACCGAGTTGTTTTAATCATACTTTTTAATTTCATCCCACACAATGACATCTGGGGAGGGACCGTGACTCAGCTGTTTGCCAATCCATCAGATACTTTGTTTGTCCATCTGTCCATATTTATTGACAAATTCAAAATTACACTGACTGGACCAAGGGTGGGTGCAATCACGATATCTCAGAATCAAAGCTTGTTCAGGTGGTGCATCTCATTCCAACATTTTTTAATCAAATATCTGAAATGCTTCCGTTTTGATTCCCTCCAAAAATGTCTGGAAAATGGAAAATGTCTGCATATCACAATATCATGGATGCACTGACTACCACTACTCACTGTGTTTTAAAAATTGCTAGATTAAAGTAAACCGCCATGTTTAATGCTTCTTATAATAAACATCAGTAAATTGCTCCTCTTTGTCTTTCCCTTACACTCAAAGGATGAGGCTGGTTAGATTCTACCAGAGGTCGCCAAAAGGCAGATCACGGTCCAGATCCCGACCCAGACGCCGTCCTATCTGCTCCCTGACCTCTAATCTATACATTTTAATAATTTGTAAAATTATGAAATTTTGACAGAGCATTACTGGTCACATGACACTACTCAGCCAATCATTACGACTCCAGTCGGTCAGTAGCTGCGTTTCTTAAAGTGCAATTTGAAAATGCTCTTAGCTCACTGTTTTTTATACTGAAGACATAAATCTTTAAAAACACCGCACAAATATATAGTTTCATTTTAAAACAGCTTCAGTCATTTCATTTTTTTTTTTTTAAACTGTTGGGATCTGTAGTTTTTTAACAAACATTACTCACACAGGAGAAAATAATGTATTTACTGTGGACTATTTTCAGCTGTGGATGAATACGCATTTGGTGCTCTTGTGAGTATTTCCAGCAGCAGGACAGTGTGTGTGTGTGTGTGTGTGTGTGTGTGTGTGTGTGTGTGTGTGTGTGAGTCAAAATAATCTGCAGTGTGTGTGTGTTCATGGTGATGAAGGAACACCGGTGCAACAGTGTGGTTCACTGATGTGTTTTTAATAGTTTCTGGACAACAGTGGAGCTCAATGGCTCAGAGGAAGAAGATGTATCACGTTACTTGTTCTTGTTCATTTCAGTGTTGGGATTCGTTGACAGAAACAAAAGATTCACATCTCCATCGTAGTGCTTCACTTCAAGTCATCGTTCATGGGGGAAAATATATTTACAAACATGAAGATATTTAAAATATGCAGAAATAATTGCATCATATGCAGCTACGATTATGCTGATATGACCGATTATGTAATCCTGACTTTGTAGAAGATGCATTAATGGGTGCCACTACGTTCACTGTTGTTTCACTTCTGAGCTAAGCAATTTGTCTAGTTACAGTGCTAAACTGTTGTTTGTTAGCAGAATCCTGTGATAGAAACACGCGAGAAGGGTTATATAACTGCATGTGGTTCAACCTAAATGAACACATTTACATTTAGAGTGCCAACCATGAGCACGGAAAGCCTTTCATTTTCTGTGTGAAGTCACTGCTGCTGATGATGCAATCTCTATTTGAGGAGCAAACAACCCTTTTCCATTTAGCAGAACACCACTGTGTGCTCAGTTTAACAGTAAATGTTCGCAACACGGGCAGAAACCCCCCAGGGGGGCACCAAGAATCCTCACAGTGCCGAGCGTCGGGAACTCTGAACCAGAGAGCAGCCTCACTTCAACCCATGTTCAAAGAAGCAGGAAGCACTTCCAGCTGCATCATTACAGCAGCTGTGCTCAGGCATCTTGTGGTTAAAGGAACATCTGCAGAAACACTTACCACTCCACACGAAAAGGGCTGCAGGTAATAGAATATTGGTATTGTACACACGAGGATTTGGACATTTCAGGAGTCAATATTGTGACATCCCGTAATGTCTGGATTGATTATCCAAATCTAAAAACAGGCACATACTGTATTTACAAAGGCACAGGTGTGACAACTCCCACTCCAAACAGCAAACATCTGCACCTGCTCTCCCAAAATCAACACCTGTCTCTCTGGGAATGGACCCTGAACAAACTGCCACTTGCGAGTAAGTCAACAGCACGGTGCCAGCCTGCAGCCTTCACTAACAGCTGCTCCCTAAAGGGATGCAGGATTTCTGCACTGACATAATATGTCAGGAGAGGAGAGACAGGGTCAGACTGCATCTCCATCCATTTGAAGCAGAGACAGCAGTAAGTCACACATGTACCAGTAACAAGCAAGTCTCAAGTCTTAAAGCTCCATTTTTTCCTCTTCTCCTGTGTTTTATTTGAAGTGTTGATCCATAAGAAGATATATTTGTGGTACCAAAAACCATCTCAATGTAGTTTTACGTCTCCTCTCTCAGGCTTCTCTCTGGAGCTCTAGTAACAACAGGTTGGTGAGCCAATCAGAAGAGAGGAGGCTCTGAGCCTCTCTTCTGATTGGCTGATGGTTTTCTGCGTGATCAAATGAAAATTCTGAGATTTCAGGTAAACATACGGAGAAACCAAATCCTGCAAAGGTGAATGGTGGGTCCAGGTGGGCGGGGCTTGGGGTGTGGCTGAGGGCGGTGAGTAGGATGTGAGTCTCCTCCTCCTTATGGTCAGACTTTGGAACGATCTCAATATCCAGGATGTTATTAACGCCATGCGACTTCTCAAACTTCACTGGGTTCTCCAACCATGCGTAGATGGTGCTCATCATGGCGTCCATGTCCAGAGCAGTAATGACATCATACTGCTTAAAGCCATCTTCACCAACTTCAATCTGATCTTGGGGCTTTAACAACATTTTAAACTAAAATTCTGGCCAGATCTTACTCATTGCACCCTTAAAGCGTTGATATCTATAAGAAGATTTGTGGTTTTCAGAACCAAAAAGCGTCTCAGTGTAGTTTTACATCTCCTCTCTCAGGCTTCTTTCTGGAGCTCTAGTAACAACAGGTTGGTTGTTTCCTGAGTGATTGAATAAGAATATAACAGATTTCAGGTAAACACTCAGAGAATCCAAATCCGACAGCTTTGTTGTGACATCACAAAGTTACAGAAGTCCTGACGGCTTGTTTTAAGGCTCAGTTTCTCAATACAGGCTGTCAGCATTTCTCTGTGGACTGAGCACTTTGATACTTTCACAGTATTAATATAGAACCTAGACCTGCTTTATAATCAAACAACACATGGACAAGTTACTGTGGTGAGAATCAAGCAAGACAAGTCATTGCTCAGATAAAACATCAGCACAAACATCAGCACTTATCATCCGATTTTTATGTCATATCAAAGTTTTTTGGAGCTACAGTTTGTTTCAGTTTCCCTCACAACATTATTTCTTGTGGACCATAATGCAGCAACAGCTTGCATCTCTTTGGAGCTGTCTTCCTCAGCATTACAAGTACAACAACATCTTTGCTAACTTTTTTTGTCATTTGAAGCATTTCGTTCTCTCTACTCTATTGATTCTCCTGCAGTGTAAACAGCACAGCTTGTTCTATGTCCTCATGTAACTCGAGTAAAAGTGGGCGACATAAGCTGAGAGGAAAGTGGGTACATTACAGTTTCTTCGCCATATAATTCCTAGAATAAGTAGAACAGCACAGACTAATGATAAGAAGAAGAATATCCAGGAGTGGATTTTTTTCTCTTTAATCCTCCTTTGTTCTTAATTTCACCAATTTCTCTCTGCCTTGCTCTTTACATCATTATCTCCTTTAACTCCCTCATTTCTCTTTCTTTTTCCGTGCCTTGCTCTGCATCCTTCCGCCCATTTAGCTCCCTCTTTCTACTCATTTTTCCTCTTTTCCTCAGTTTCTGTCCTCCCACGCTATGTCTGCCGGTCCAGCTACTGCTGGAGGTGGATTTCTGCTTCACCTGCTCCCTCAACCCAACTGGAAACTAGTTTGATCTCTACCACTAAGCTTACAGAAACGGCTTTGCAGAAATATTTAATGTGTCACTGACTTTAAGCCAAGAAGCTCAGTGGATATTTAGATATTTCATATTAATTCATATTTCATATGTTTCATATTTTATGCTTCCTGTGTTTGTGATATATTTGTGGTTTGAAGAACCAAAAACCATCTCAATGTAGTTTTACATCTCCTCTCATCTCTCTCTGGAGCTCTCCAATCAGAAGAGACAATCTGAGACTCTCTTATAGTAGTAAATTTAGTTGTATAGTTTGTAGGACAGGCTTTATTGAAGAAAGTAAGAAGCAGTAAGAAAGAAATAATTATGCAGTGCTGTTTGCCCCTTTCCCAATGCCTGAACTCTCATGACCCACTGGATGAGCCCTTATGACCTTTGTCTGCAGCCCTTTGACATCCCCATTCTTTGTGTACTGTAGTAATTTCCCTGCTGGCTCCCAGTCGATTTCACCAATACTCTTTACAGTTATTGTCAAATTTGTCTGTGTCAGTAGGTTTAAACTGAATAATTAAATCAACGAAGATGTAACAACACTGTATTTTGAAGTATATTTACAAAATGTATGGTTTACAGTCCATCATCAGCCATACACTGATTGGGATTTACCTTTGAAACTTCTAATTATGTTAAAATTATTTATAACCATAATTTTCAGTCAGTTTCAGACAGTGTTATACGATACGATAAGTGCTTTGTTCGGAGCTACTAACTAGAGCTGCAACCGCTGGTCAAATAACTGATCAGTTGGCAACTATTTTCATAACAGATTAATCATTTTATAGTCATTTTAGTCATTTTTTAAGAAAAAATGACTAAAATGACTAGAATCTGCTGTTTTGTATATCTTAGGGTATTAGAAGATCAGTCAAATAAAACAAGTATTTAATAAAAAATTGACTGGCATTTTTCACTATTTTCTAACATTTTATGGAAAGACAATTATTTGATAAATCCATATTGAAAATAATTGCGTTATAGCCCTGACACCTTACTTACTGGGTCCGTCTCAAACAAGCCCAAAAGAATCATGATAATAAAACCCTGAGACCTCTCCTCATTATTCAGATACTAATACCAAGTGTATAAAGGGTCAGTTGTCAGTTGCTGTTTCACTCAACTATATTCACCCCTGTGAGCTGTTAACTCAGCCTCCTTTCAGTTTTTACAAATGGGCCACATTATTATTTATTTATTTCAACCCCAGTTAAAACTTCAGCAGCCCTCTGCCCTCTATATATAGAAAAATGATTCCTTCCTTTTTGGAGTCAACTTTGTTCCCCTGCTGCTGCAGGATCAAAGCCCACCAAAGGGTTCTCTCCTTTTATCTTTGTGTACAATTGCACAGCCTCAATAAAAATGGAAAGTGCTAAGGGTGAGTGGACAGCTCTCCCCACCTCTGAGAGACTTCCAATAAATCAAAAACAAAAGCAGCCTTATCACTGTCAGAACCACAGACCTTCTGTCTGATACCAACAAGGACAAAAACAACTCGGATGATTAGTTTTCCAAAACGCTGTAATATTTGACTTTGTGATGCGGCTTTGAAGTGAAAACCCTTCACCTTGATCTCATAGATCTTCAGCTTTCTCTTGATACTGGTGTTCTCTCGCTCCAGGCAGGCCAGCCTCGTCTTGATGTCCTGATAGGCCGTGATAAGGGCAAAGTGGGAGGCAGAGTAGACGTCGTCGGGGGGCAGGGGTGAGGAGCGCCACGCCATGCTGCCACAGCCATCCTCCTTCAGGCCCCCCGCGTCGCCGCCTCCTCCCAGCAGCCCCAGCTCCCCTCCGCCGAACAGAGACTGCATCACTCAGAGCCTCAACCTGAGGACACACACAGACAGAGATTTGCTTATTCATTATTAAATCACCAGATTGTTTCCATTCAATTAAATGTACCTACCGAAAATAACGCCATTTTATAATTTAGGCAGGGGTTGAGTATCGCTCCTAAAAACATCAGGCGGGGAGCGACTCACAAACAAAAAAGAACAAAGCCGTTTTGAACTGAGAGCAGTCGGATTGCTGGCACACAACGTGTAAAATATTCAACAGCAAAGTGGGTGCAGAGAGACACAGGAGGAGGACGGAGGGACACTGTTAGTCCATGTGAAACTTCAACATGACCCAGCACCTCACTGTAGTCACAATTAGCATGTTCACATGCTCACCAGTATCCTGGATCTGATCATGCTTGGTATGTGACATTTAAACAAAAAACAAACCTGATATTTCATCACTGTTTCATGATTCTGAAGTTTATAGTTCAGACTGAAAGTGACCCAGACTGTAGAGGCAGCGTGAGGGCATGTCGAGGCAAATAGATGCAGAAAATTCTCTCTTAATTTGAGTCTTTATAACTCAATGTCACAAATGTGCAGGAAAAACATGGAAAGGAGATAGCTCAGTAGGAAAATAACAAAGAGCTAGAAACCTGGTACGTTTTGAGATTACTCGAGGGGGTGGGCCATCTCACACACACACACACACACACACAGTTGACGCATATGCAGCGAGCTAGCTACAGCCGATGTCTGTACACTCTGTAAACACAGACTGCACAACAGTCTCGTACTGTGGCTACTGAATATTTTTAAACCACGGCAGCCCTCTATCCAGGTTTTTTCTTCATGGCAGGTAGCGTTCAGCGAACAGTCGGTGGCAGATCTTTCCATCATTTAACATCCGACGATCTCTATTTGTACTGCTCCACTGCTGTGGACCTGGAAAAGTCATAGTGCTGAGCAGGTAGTGTATAGTGGATTTTCAGCTGCAATGCTAAAAACAAAGCTGTGACAGGGATGCAAATGAACCGAGATAGTGAAGTTTCTGGTTGAACAGCTCAGTGACTATAAGCTGAGATGAGCTGCAGAAACAGGTGATAATTCTTTGTAGGTTCATCACTTGTTGTTATTATAAAAAATATAGATTATAGCCACTTCAAAGTAAATGTTGCCCTTTTTGTATGTTGTGAATCATTACTATAATGAAAAGTTTAAATTAAAAAAATCTTGCAGCACCCTTGGCCCGTCCTTCAAGCCACCCTGATGAGCTAGTGGTCAAATTTGCATGATTAAGGGGAGGTGACAATTTGCACTGAGTCTAAAAACGCCGTAAGATTATCCAGGTTTCCGAACATCTGCAGCCGTGTAGACCTGACTTTGACTCCTCGTCCAGCAAATATTTCTGCACCAGGCGAGTTACCTCAACAGTTGAGGATGAAAACAGTTGAATTTCTGGTTGCTGGGAGACACTGATGTATTTGCCATTTTTCTAGCTTTAGCTTCTCCAGCTAATTATCAGTAATGGAAGACAAAAGCAACAATTCATCACCTGCGTCAGACTTTTACTTTCATGCCAGCGCATCACATCATTTGGAGTGGCTGTTCACTTTTATTGTTGGAAAGTCAATCAAACTACAAAGAGATGCAGAACAGCAGCAAAGAGATGTAAAGCAACGTCAAGGAGACACAAAATGGTTATACAGTGGTAACAAAGGGACAAAAAAAAATTACATAGAGACACAAAATGACCACAAAGAGATACGAAACAACTAAAAACAATGTGGTGTTTATGTCTTTTTCATCTCTTATGTAGGAGAGTTGGGGCCTTTAACATGTCTGTGGCCGAGGGTTCATTGTTTTCCTGTTTTTTGTTTCATTGACATCATATCTCGAGTCGAGGACACACGTGGCAGACACTGATCAGAAATCTGGAGAAGATGAACTGGAATCAGAGCCATGATAAGAGGTTTATATGTGCAAACATAAAACCAGGATTCTCCAAAAACCCTGAACATAACCGAGGAAGCAGTGTGCATGTAAACATTAATTTACTCTGGCAGAGACACACCTCAGCCTTAAGAAGTTCAAAGCCATTATACTCCTTTTGCATCTGTCTTTTTGCACTGACAGAAACATTTCTGGTGAGCGATCCCCTTCGGGTGCATGAGTAACCAGTCCATGTACTGTAGCTGATATGTTAATCACACCCCGATTTACATATGAGCCTGGTTCGTGCTCTTGTTCCATTTCACAGTACTTAAAAAAACATGAGCTTTGACAGCCTACGCTCCTTGAGTGGCATGATGAATGAGCTGGGCGGTTAGCTGACCATGCTGCATAACAGCCAACCGGCCTTGGCCTCCCCTCCCCCCCCTGCCCCCAAAGACTCGAGGCAGTGCTGTCAAAAGTGATAAATGGCACCTGTGATGTCACAGCCCTGTTTATATGCAGCCACAGAGGGGGCGTGCAGAAAAGTCATTCTAGACATAGCTGGGCACACCAAGAACAGTTTGATTTACGGGTACTGCTGAGAGAGTTACACAACAGCCAGTTGATTTGATGTATACTGGAATGGATGCCTTCCTGACTCCCAGCGTTGCCTTGTGAGTCAGCGATTGCCTACTGAGCTATTTTCATCTGCTCCCTTCCTCCACGGTGCTATTTTCCTTGTGTTTCAAGCTAGAGAGAGAGAGAAAGAGAGAGAGGGGGGAATAAAGCCTCAGCCAATCTACGGCTCTTTTCCTCGCTGGTCTAACAGGATGATCCAAAAGCACTCCCACATGCACAGGCGCGCACACAAACACACGTCTGTGCACATGCAGCCAAAAACACCACAGAGCAACAGTCGCACAGAGAGAGGAAGAATACACGTGCAGAGAATTTTTTTTTTTTAAAAACGCCAGACGACACAAACTCAGACCGACTGTGCCGGTCACCTGCGAGCTGCCTGAAGACTAATTTAAATGAGAAGGCTTTATTAAACCAACTGTACACTACGTGCACAGCTCCAAACAGCAGACAAATTAGTGATGTGCTTCTCACAGACTGTCCTCCTGTAAAAAAAAAAAATTAGCCCATAGGTAATTTGTGCAGCAGGTTATTATGACCCATAGTTACGTTTTGTTGCTAGGTGACATCTAGTGGTCGTAGTAATTATGACAGGAGCAAAAGGGAAAGTATAGAGGTGGTATAAAGAGAGACAAAGTCCATGTCAGGAGGAGGTTGTGGTGGATGGATGAATATGACACAGGAGAGCGGTGTTCGATTCCCATGTGAAAGTAGCAGTTTATATTGTAACCATGACAACAAAGATTGTCTAATGTTGAGGAAGTTCTAATTTCAACCCAAATCACAATCTTTTCCTAAACCTTACCAAGCCATGACTGTTATTATAGTAACCATGGCGACAAAGGTAGGTACGGCGCTGTCGGTACAGTCCGCGTTTTTATTATTGTAAACATGATTTCTGAGGGCCGGTACGCCTGCCGCTGTAGGAGTGCTATTTCAGGAGACACTCCTATGGGTCGTATCAGAGGGTTGAAATAAACGACCCGTGTGGTCATTCACGTTGGACGACTTGTTCACGCTGGACGATGGTTATTACATTCATCATATGGACAAAAATACAACTTTAAATGAAGGCGAATGTTGTCCTGTAACTGCTGAATATTTAAGTTCACATTAACAGCTCCACAGGGTGATAATATCTCAGTGTATATGTGTGTTTGTAGCTTGTGCCACTGCCAAGTCGCCTAAAAACAAAAAACAGAATTAAAGAAAATCTGTTAATGCAGCGTTAAACATGGCCAAGGTTTCTCCCATGTTTGAAATGGTGATATTGGGTCATTTTGGAAACCACTGCCAAACAACCACTTTTGTTATTTAGTAGGACTTGTTAGATGAGGTAAAAGGCATTCAGGTGGGATGTTGACTTAAAAAGCCTTGGCTCAGCTAAAGCTTGTGTGCATACGTTGTTGCTGCTGGAGGCTTCACCAAAGCCGTTCATTTAATTACGCTCTGTTTTTCACATGTGGTCTTAAAATGACCTCCAACTACAGGACTAAAGAAGTGCTAGAGCTGCCACAGTGGGTTTAGGCTTCTGTTTGGATGCATGCTGTATAAGAAAATGGATATTAAGGGGTAAGCTTTCACCCTGTTGTATGTACTGACCTTATTTACATAAAAATCCTATGCAAACAACTCACACCATCCGCCTACATCCAGGCTTCAGGACACAATTATCCATAGACCAAAAATGCGAATATCTATTAGGCCAATCACACGGCAGCAACTCCATACATTTAGGCATGTAGACATGGTCAAGACGGTCTGCTGAAGTTCAGACCGAGCATCAGAATGTGGGAGAAAGGTGATTTAAGTGACTTTGAGCGTGGCACGGTTGTTGGTGCCAGGCGGGCTGGTCTAAGTATTTCAGAAACTGCTGATCTACTGGGTTTACAGAGAACAATCCGAAAAAGAAAAAATATCCAGTGAGCGGCAGTTGGCGAAGGTTCCCATCTAATGCCAGAGGTCAGAGGAGAATGGCCAGACTGGTTCGAGCTGATAGAAAGACAACAATAACCACTCGTTACAACTGAGGTATGCAGAGGAGCATCTCTGAACACACAACACGTGGAACCTTGAAGCAGATGGGCTACAGCAGCAGAAGACCACACCGGGTGCCACTCCTGTCGGCTAAGAACAGGAAACTGAGGCTACAATTCGCACGGGCTCACCACAATTGGACAATAGACGATTGGAAAAAACGTTGCCTGGTCTGATGAGTCTCGATTTCTGCTGCGGGTCAGAATTTGGCATGAACATGAAAGTATGGATCCATCCTGCCTTGTATCAACGGTTCAGGCTGGTGGTGGTGGTGTAATGGTGTGGGGGATATTTTTTTGGCACACACAACAGCCTGAGTATTGTTGCTAACCATGTCTATGCCTTTATGATCACAGTGTACCCATCTTCTGATGGCTACTTCCAGCAGGATAAAGCGCCATGTCACAAAGCTCAAATAA